CCAACACCACTTTCGGATACAGCGACGAGATACGAATACCCATACAACAGCAGGACCTATACACGCTGCCGTGCGAGAGTTTTCTCTACGTCGAAGGTAGACTACATACAAAGAATAATCCGCCGCGTCGAGCGGCAAATCGGGTAAGCCTGCCTCTAAGGAGCCGTCCGTGTCCTCGACGCCGGCGAGGCTCGTGAACAATTGCGTCGCCTTTATGTTCGAGGAGATACGTTACGAGCTCGATGGCGTGGAGATCGATCGTAATCACAACGTCGGAATAACTAGCACGATCAAGAACTACGCCTCGTTGACGGCCAAACGAGGCAAGATCTTGAAGAACGCCGGATGGGATCGCCGGACGGGACGTCGCGACTGGACCGAGCGGCGTCGCGTCAACGGGCGACTTCAACTTCTGCGTTCCTCTCGACATGCTGCTAGGTTTCTGCGAGGATTACAGACGCGTCGTCATCAACGCGCGTCACGAGCTGATTCTGATAAGAGCGCGAAACGACAACAATTGTCTGATATCGCGCGAAGAATTCGAGCCGAGAGTCGAGCTCGCGAATATACAGTGACGCGTGCCGCACGTGGTGCTGAATGACGTCAATAAATTATCGCTGTTGCGCACGTTGGACAGCGGCAGATATCTGAGCGCGCCCTTTCGCTCGTGGGATCTCTACGAGTTTCCGCTCCTGCAGAGCACGACCAAACACTCGTGAGCCGCAAAAACGGACACGTAGCTCGAGAAACCGCGTTACGTCATCTTCGCGTTGCAGACCGGAAGGAAGAACGTCCTGTCGCAGGACGCTTCCAGATTCGACGCGTGCAATCTGACCAACGTAAAGTTGTATCTCAATTCCGACTTCTATCCGTACGACGATATGAATTTGGACTTCGATAAGAACAAGATCGCCGTACTGTACGACGCCTACGCGAGATTTCAACGAACGTATTACGGATCCGCGAGCGACGAGACGCTCCTGACTATGAACAAATTTCGATACTGCGGCCCGCTCGTGGTGATAGATTGTTCCCGCCAAAGCGGTTAAGAGCGTCACTGAACGTGAACGTTCGTCTAGAATTCGACTGCAGGGACAACGTTCCTTCTAACACCACGGCGTACTGCCTAATCATTCACAATCGCATGGTGGAGTACAATCTGCTGACGAACGTCGTGCGTAAGATCCTGTAAGACGGCGCGTCAAATGGGGGGGGGGAGAGGAAACTCGAAATCGCGAAGATATCGGGGAGAGACGCGAATAAACATCAGTCTCTCGCGACGATGACCGCGATGACGGTCACGGGCGATATCGCCCCGCCGATCTTCGTCGATCTGCAGGGCTTCGTCGTCAACGAGTGATTCGTGACGAAGGAGATGGCGATACTCGCGAACGGCAGAGATCTGACGCATCACATCTTGCGCGCGCCAATGTCGTGGAATCTGCTGACGAAGAGCGAGAAGTCGCAGGCCTGTTGGCTGACTCTTAATCACCACGAATTCCACTGGACCGACGGACACGTGGAGTATAGGCACGCGTAGCAGATCGTTCGCGACGCGATATATCGCACGTCGAGGGATCTCGAGTCGAACGCCGCGGTGACGATCTATGTCAAGGGTCGCGAGAAGAAGAAGTGGCTGACCGACATCGCGGGAGAGGTCGCGGAGCAGCGCGACCTGATGATCGAGACCATCAACGCCGATTACGAGGAAATCGGACCCCTTCGAACGCTAGCCACGACTCGCGTCTATCGCTGCGGCTATCACTCGAAGAATTGCGCCTTGGAAAACGTGTGCAAACTGCACAACTGGTGGTTGGAGAGACGCGATCAATTGCGCGACATGTGAACAAAGACGCGTCGCGCGATGATTCGCGCGCCTCGCGCGTTTTCCGCATCGTAGATTAGTTTTGCGCGTACTCTTATCGACTTATTAGCGGTTAATTTATCGCGCCTCATGCATTTCCCACATCGTAGATTAGTTTTACGCGTACTCTCGTCGACATATCGACGACTAATTTTTATCACGCGCATTGATTTATCGTCTACTTAGAAAAAGTATTATTAATATCTACAAAAATAATAAAAAAAATAATATTAATACTAAAAAAATAATATTAATACTAAGAAAAAAATATTAATACTAATTGTAAGAAAAAATAATATTAATACTAAGAAAAAATAATATTAATACTAAAAAATAATATTAATACTAAAAATAATATTAGTACTAAGAAAAATAATATTAACACTGTAACGATCGTATTTTCGGGCGTTTTTCACAGCGCGGATAGATCGCCGGTGCAGGTTCGGGAAATAAAATACGCGGTGTGTTCCGTTTTGTGTTTTTATTGTTTTAATGTGTATGAATGTACAGTGTGTGTGTGTGTATGTGTGTGTGTGTGTGTGTGTGTGTGTGTGTGTGTGTGTGTGTGTGTGTGTGTGAGAGCGCGCGCGCGTGTGTGGTGTGTATAATATTCGGGTGCAAACGATTATACGGTAATCAAAAGCGGCTTTAATTTCGGTCTCGATATTAGACGCCGGCCGGTGTTTACGAAGCGCGAGACGGCGCGAGTTTTTGCGACGCTTTTTCTGCGGGGAATCCCGATGCTCCGAGAATGCTTAGATTCTCGGAATCGACAGTTATTTTCGCAGAACTGTTTATTCCCCGGCGCGATTTAAAGTCCGCGTTCGATATATTCGGCCGATGCGCTTTAATAACGGCGCTTAAAATGTCAGTATCGGTAATAACAAACGACTAGAATGTATGCGCTTGGCGGTAACAGGCAAATGCGCTCCGCGGTAACAATACAGTATGCGCTCGACGGTAACAATCAATGTATGCGCTGCGCGTGCGGTATAGAAGCGGGTCGCGAAGGATGGTTATGCGTATGCAGCTGGATCGGTAACTCCCGATCCGGGGCGGTTCAGAGCTCCACCTTCCGTGAGGGTTGCAGCTGCGGATCAGGCGGATTACACTTTTTGGTGTCGGAATCGAGAACACTCGTTCTGAGACGGAACACGTTCCACCTCTTGTCTTCGGCTCTTTTGTGCGTTCGGTAGGATTTTTCGAGGATTGCTTCGAAAGCGTACTGCTTCGAGCGGATCGGAAAAATGTGTCTAGAGTCAAAATGTGGCTCTTTTTATACGGGCTAATTGCTCGCGTCGGCGCGCGGCGGTATAACCCCTTCCGAATGGGTTTTCGGAAAACGGTACGGTCGGGCCCGTTCGGAGGGATTCGGGTAGGAGCCGAACGCGGGCTTTCGCCGGTTGACGGTTCGGGCCACATCGACTCTGTTCGGCGATGCTCGGCCGAATTTTAGTTCGAGCGGTTTTTGGCAGTCTTAAAAAAAAGTGGGCGCACCGCGCCCCTGCCTCTGCCCGGCGGGTGTTCTGCCGGGCGGCAGCTTCCGGCGGATGTTATGCCGGGAATCGTAACGATGCACCGGAATGCATCGTTACAACACTATGAAAAATAATATTAATTAGCGAATAAACGTTAACTCGTATCGCGTACGCGGTTAAACGCATTTTCCGCACTTCCTCCGGAGCAATCGAGAATTTATCGCGCCTCGTTATATTACCTCGTTATATTTCCGCGCGCTCAGTATTGTAAGTGTTCCCAGTGCATTCAATATTCGTTCTCAACGTTATTTTCGCGCGAACGATAGATGACGAATTTTCGAGATTGCGAAAAATGCTTCACGAATGTATGTTCGCGGGGCGGATGTGCGCATGGAAGGTAAAATACGTCGAGAGACTCATGACCGCAATCCTCAACATTGCAGTAACGTGGAACGTGAGTACTCTTTTATCATCGTTATTTATTCTTTCGTTCTCCTTCGAAGAGACACACGACGATCGTGATCGCGTGACATTTTTTACAGTTCGAGGAGAAAGTCGAGATCGAAGGATTCGTCAGCATACACCATAAACGTTGGATACAGAGAAAAAGGCAGGCGCGCCGCATATTCATGGATTTACTGTGGTGCGAGCGACAGTCCTACAAAAAATGGGAGAAAATCGCGCCTAACATGTTTACCGACATATTTCGCCTGAGAAGATTGTTCGGTATGAAATCGCTCGTCCAAGATCATATGTATAAGACCGAACATATCTACGACAACGATTCCCTCTTAAAAATGTGGTGTCGCGGTTTAAGTCCGATCGACGGAATGAGCTCCGCTCACACGAGTGACAGAATGAGCTCTGCTCACACGAGCGACTACGACGACAACGACGACGACGACGAGTTTTAATCGAGGTACGTATCTCTTTTCGTCTAACGCGCTATTCTTTCATTCCATGTACCTCAGTACGATCTATTAATATTATATCTATTGATACTTTATATATTTCAGACGTCTCGCTGATTTCAACACCGCGCCTTCCCGCCCGATCACCGCTCGCATCGTCCTACGCATTTTACATCACTTCGCATACAACTATATGTATTAATCCATGTATCGCCATATTATTCCACGCGCCGCATCGTTTCACACGATCGTACGATGCGTCGCTTTATACGTTACCTCGTACCTCAGTTCGTATCGTCTTTTTTATACATTACTCTATATATTAATCACTCTATATTAATCACTCTATATTAATCACTCTATATATTAATCACTCTATATATTAATCACTCTATATTATTCCACACGTCGCTTCGCACGATCACGCGATGCGTCGCTTTATACGTTACCTCGTACCTTAGTTTATATCCATTAGTGTATCTTTCGTATATACATATATTTCTTTGCGTACGATAAGGATCGAAAAAAAAATTTTTGTACGAATAAAGAATCATTAAAAAAAAAAAAAAAGAACGTTCGTTCTCTCGATCGCGCGTCCGAGCGTATCTCCCCTCCCTTCCCCTCCTCCTTCTCTCTTTGTACGACGTTTTCTCGCGTTCTCGAGAGCGATATATCGCCGAAGGACGTGCGTGCGCGCGATAGTTCGCTACCGTCCTGACCCCCGCGCGCTAGCACCTCGTGAGAGCCATGACGCGCGTCGCGTTATCGCTCGCGCTGACGATATCCCTGCTCGCGACCGTCGCGGTGGCGCTGACCTACGATGACGTCGCGGAGGCGTCTCGTTATCTTCGAACCTACGGCTTTCTGCAGAACGAGGAGAATCATCAGCAGTCGTCGCTATTGGACAACGCGACCGCCCTGAGCGAAGCGCTATCATTGTTTCAGGAATACTACGGTCTGCCGGGAAACAGCGTTCTGACCGTGGAAACGATTCGCGTCATGCGCAGGCCGCGATGCGGCGTCGAGGACATTCACGCTTACAGCCCGTTGACGAGAAAGTGGCCGAGGACGCATCTCACGTGGAACTTCAAACTAGCGAACAGAGATACTCTGCGCACGACTCAGAGCGCGTTTGCTCTGTGGTCCGAGCAATCCTCTCTGACGTTCTCGCGCGACCCGCTGCGCCCCGATATACTGATATCCTATCAATCCGGCGCTCACGCGTACGAGAACAGCGACAACGGGGGCCTGGTCAGCGCACATCACGCTGACCAGGCCCCCGTCGGACAGGCTGTATCCCCTTCAGACGCTGACGCACGAGATCGGTCACACTCTGGGTCTGACTCACAGTATGAGGGAAGATTCGGTCATGTACGCGTACACGCCTTCGGAGGAAAGGCGATATCCGCTCAGACTGAGCATACACGACGTCATAAACGTGCGAAATCTCTATGGATCGAGAGAGACGACGAATCCTACGATCGTCGACGCTACTCCGACGATCGCGGCGACGACTACGACGACGACGGCCTCGACGACGACGACGACGGCCTCGACGACGACGACGACGGCCGCGACGCCGCCGACGACCGCGAAAACGGTTAAGACGCCGCTCGCTCCTTCCGATACCGCGGATCTATGCGCCTTGAAACGCATAGACGGAGTGCTAATCATGAATCGTCGCTTGTACATCGCGCGTAAACGCAACGTGTGGCCCATCGATATGAGGGAGAGACGCTACGGAGCGCCCTTCTCGTTCGCCGACTACTTCAAGTTCCTCCCCCGCAATCTCACTCGCGTATCGGCCATGTATCAGAGACCCTCGGGCGATATCGCGATATTCGCCGGCGATTACGTCTACCTCGCCGATTCGAATTTTCATCTTAAAGCGGGATGGCCTAGATCCGTCGAATACGTCGAATTTCCCCGCGACGCTAGAATAAACGCCGCGATAAACACGCACGTCAGGCGCAGCTACGTCATATACAACGACGATAAAATAGCCGAGATAAATGACTGCGCGATGACCGTCGCGAGGCACAACGCTCTGCGGGATATGTTTTCCGGGATACCATTCGCGATAACGGCGGCCTTTCGCCACGTCGACGGTAATCTCTATTTTCTGAAGAAACGCGAGTATTACGCGTACAGCGAGTTCATCGACGCGATAACGGCCCGTCCCTTCGATCTTAGTATACTGGGAATAGAATGCCCCGCCGATGGCATTCTGCATCGATTGAGCGAACTCGTCTCCAAGCTGTATCGTCTGGAATACGCGTCCTTCGAAAGACCGCGCAACGACGACGACGATGACGACTAAGATCAGGAAATCCTGAAACCTAACGTTAAGATTACATTTAATATGCTGTTCTAAACCGCTGTTCTAAACCGCTTCCGCTGCATTAATTAATGCGCATAACGCGCGCGTCGAGAATAAAGATATCGAGACGATGATCGAGATCGCGTCGTATATAAGGCGCGTCTTGATCGTTGCGCGACATTTCCAACGATACTCGCGATTAACGCGCGTACGATTCTAAGCGAGCGTCTCCGACGAATCTCTCTCTCCTCGCGATAACCAACGTTAACGACGCCGTCGCCACCGCAGTGTTTTCCTACGAACATCGAAGCCCTGTTCGCGAGACTGATCATGTTCGCTGGACTCGGACAGGAGTACCGCAGAGTGTTCGGGGACTCATCCGCGACGCCCGCGACTCCATCGGCGCCGCCGATAACTGGCCCCTTCGTCGCCCCGCCTAACCGTCGAGACGATTACGCGGCTTCCACCAAGGACGAGAATACCACCCGCGATCGTTCCGACACTCCGCCCGTGATCAAGAAAGCTCGACTGTACACCGAGGACGAGTGAGTATGCGCGACGCTTCGCGAGTTACCTCGCCCGAGCGCTCTCGATCTCCGCCTCGATCGGCTATTTCGTATAATAACATTGTCTTTTTTTATCCGATCTCGACAGATGGAATAGAAACTGGCTGTTCAAACGCGAGATCAATTTCGCGAGACATCCGATTCGGATATTGGGAAGACGATATCCGCTGACCAAGACGGCGTACAAGTACATCGACATCGCCGTAGCCGTGAAACGCGAATCTCAAGTCGATATCGTCCTAGAAGACTACCTAGACTGCCTAGACTGACTAGAGAAATAATAAATTCGTTATACGGGATGTTAGTTTTATTTTTTATGAAATGCCATCGTTTCGCTATATTCCTCTATATTCACTGGCGTCTTTTCTCCATAACATTCTATATAAGAATTTACCGAATCCGAAGAGCCATATCACAAACAGTTTTGAACTTACTAAAAAACTTAATAATTTTCACTTAGACGATAAATACGACTTGATTTCATTAGATGTTGTGAGTCTTTTCACCAACGTTCCTCCTGATTTGCTTATTGGGGGAATCGCGAAACGATGGCATTTCATAAAAAATAAAACTAACATCCCGTATAACGAATTTATTATTTCTAAAATTATTATTCTAAAATTGATCATGGATTCCACTTACTTCATGTTTGATAAGATCATCTATAAACAGATTTTTGGCACTCCGATGGGCTCTCCACTCTCTCCGATCTTGGCGAATATTATCATGGCGGACTTAGAAGAGAGAGCAATTTCATCTCTCCCAGTTTCCCTTCCTTTTTACATACGTTATGTTGACGACATTGTTCTTGCAGCTCCGAGACAATTCATCCAGCACATTTTTCAAGTTTTCAACTCACTTCATAATAGATTAAGCTTCACCATTGAACATTCAAATAATAACAGTATAAATTTTTTGGACACAACTATTATTATTAATAAGAATTACATTGAATTCAATTGGTACAAGAAGCCGACTTTTTCAGGGAGATTTCTCTCATATTTTTCACAGCACCCCTTGTCACATAAAAGAGGAGTTGTCATCGGCTTAACAGACAGGATTTTCAAACTCTCACATCCGCGTTTTCATAAAGATAATTTTTCATTTATCATATCAACTTTATTGAATAATGGTTATCCTATGCACTTCATTTTCCAAACTATTACTCATAGACTCAAGTTTTTAATTTCTGCTGAAAACACTGACGTCAACATACATTCTCAACCTCCTTCCTCTCCTACTTCTTCCCCCTTTTTCACCATCCCTTTCTCCTCAAGTTTCCCTAGAAATTTTATTTCTAATATAAAGAAATACACGAACAGAAGATTGGCCTACACAGTGAACAACAAATTAAAATCTTTTATCAGACTACATAAAGATCCTCTGCCTGAACTCCACCACTCATTTACAAGATCAATTGTCTGGATTGTGATGCGTCGTATGTGGGACAAACGAAGAGAAAACTAATAACCAGAATCAAGGAACACCGCTCTGATATCAATAAGACTTCTGGGTCTCTCGGTTGTGTCCCTTCATAGAATGGAGGGTCACGAATTCGATTGGACGAATATTTCCATTTTGGAGGAAGAACCAGGATACAAAAAGAGATTAATTGCAGAGATGTTACATATCTCTAATCAGAATTATAGCATCAACATCCAGAGTGACACGGAGTTCTTAGACAAGATTTATTTGCCAATTATCGAGAAGTTCTCGCATTGAGTTCTTTGTTAATTTTTTCGCTTATCATTCCCTTATCCTTCCATTTGATGATGTTCCTCTCTTTTTTCCCCTCTTTTTTTTTCCCTCTCTCTTTTTTTGAGAGTCTCACGTTCGCCTCCCTGCGTTCTCACATCTCTCAGTTCAGCGCTATCGACAAGAACGTTTACGTTGTGCCTGTCATGCTCTTCCTTCGTAGGATTTTCTTAGTTTTCTTACTTTCATTTTATTAATGGTACGCATATTTAATTGTTTTTAATTTGTTGACGTTATACTTTTCTCTATCTTATTTTGTTTCTCATAATTTTTTTATTTTTTTATTTTTTTTATTTTTTATATCTTTCCAAATTTTAATTTTTGACAATTTGATTCCCGTATCAGTTTTCGTAGTGTTTTCTTTGCTTTTTATTAGGGAGTCTATTTTTTTGTTTTTTTCTTCTTTTTGTAGAATGCCACCATAATCAAGGTTTTAATCAACGCACGTCAGGCCCCACTGCATTTTCGGCTGGTCATCGACTTATGCACGTCTTTGACGGTTTTTATTGAGATGTATGTGGGCCTGTTTTGCATGGTTTTTCCTATCGGCATGTGTCTTCGAGGGGAGTAGCTTGTTTTTTCATGGCACACGGAGATTTTGCAATATGAGTTTGCTTATTAATGCGTTGCGCTTCTTTGTCTGTTTAAATTCGTCCGTTACTTGCGTTAATTTATTTCGACTTTTTTGACTCTTTTATTATTTATTTTGTTTTGCGTCTTTCCGTTTATTATTACTAATGACTGTTAATTTGATTTTATTTCATTTTATTTGTATGTTTTTACTGTTATTTCGCGATTTGACATTGAAAAGGATCCGAATTGGATCGAAACGCAGCGTTTGTCACCGAAATTAAATAAACGTTTTATTGATTTATTACATTAATATAACCGTTTTTTCGCATCTTTTCGTCATTGCGCTGGTCCTTTAAGCCTTTTATTGAATTTTTGATTTTATCGTATGGATCTTTATTTAATTATATTTATTTGATTTCATTCAAGAATTTGATATTTTAAAGACAAACGTTTGTTCAAAATCACCCTGTATATATGACCATCAGAAATATATTCTCAGGAAATCCTACGGATGATTTTTTTATCGTCTGTATTGTTTAGATTATTCGATCAAATCAAGATGTCCTACGAAGCCCTGGCGAAAATAAAATGTAAATCGAGCGTTAACAAAGCAGGAATTTGAGAGTAAATCTAATGTAACGGAAGAGTGACCGAAGCGTAAATGAAGCTACTAAAAGGCGTAAATTGAGACATCGGAACGAAAAGAAAACGGCTATTAAGTGTTAGAAAAGCGTTAACGAAGCGTTATCAAACTCTCCGACAAGCGTGAACGAAATATTCTTCAAATGTAAACGAAGCGTCATCAAACTCCTTAAGGATCGTAAACGAAAATCATTGAACTCTCCGATGACAAACATGAATTAAAAATATCTAATATAATTTTTAAAGAACGTAAATGTCATCAAACTTATTAGCGAATATGAATGAAATGTTTATACTCTACTATATTTATACTGTATCGTTAATATTGCACTTTACATTTTAAATAGATATAATAAACGGATAATTTTTGTTTATTCGCCAGACTTATAATATTTACTTGTCCGACTTATAAAAATCAATTTAATTGATCTGAAACTTCTGCATCGAGATCAGAAATTAAATTGAAGTATATCTTTAATCTTATTTGCTACTCTTTGTAAGCTTCATATAATTTTCATAACTAAACTTAAATACGAGAAAGATAGCGCATCGCACGTCGCGTAACGGTAAACGAACGAACTAACAGATCCTTATATACTTGCGCGAAACTTTGACGTTCTTAAAATTATTTCTTTAAATTGTTAAAGTGTATGAAAAGTTTCATACATGTTTTGTGCAGTGTTTAAGCGTTGTAGAAATGTGGATAAAGAGTTTCTAAGTCAATCAATCATTAAAATATATAGGAAGCGTATTGGAGTGCTTCGTTCACATTTTATGGAGCGTTTAGGAAGCGTAAATGAAGAGTTTCTAAAATGTCAATCATTGAATATACGGGAAGCGTATTGGAGTGTTTCGTTTACATTTTATGGAGCGTTTAAGAAGTGTAAATGAAGAGTTTCTAAATGTCAATCAATGAAGTATGTGGGAAGCGTAAAGGAAAACATGAAATATTAAAGCGTAAGGGAACCGTAACAGAATGCTTCGTACACTTTATGGAGCGTTCAAGAAATAAGCATAAAGATTGAAAATCGCGAAGAGTTAATGGGAAATCAATGAAGCTTCTAAGAAGCGTTTATTCTGTTTGTTTACGCTTCTTTGACACTTCGACAAGCGTTCAATTTTCATCATGGAGATCTTATGTTATACGAAATATCCTCAAGTAATCCTATGAATGACTTTTTAATTTATATCAAAATGGAATCATTTTGATCAAATTAGAATGTTCTATGGAAATCTTATGCTATGTGGGGTTTGGAACGTCAAAATGACATGTGCTTGCTGATGGGTCTTTATAGACATCTTTTCGCTTTGTCGAAAAAGATGACATAAAAAAGACATAATAGTATGTGGCATGTGTTTTTTCGCTTGCTACTACGCGCGAGCCACTCTTAACTTTTCTCGTATTTAATATTTATCACGAAATGTATATGTATAAAGAATTAGTAATTAATATAAGATCTGAAG